GAATGATATTGTTATGATAAACTAATATTCATCTAGGCTATGCCAGTGTGTCCACGCAAGAATCTTATAAGTTTAGGGGTCGTACAGTGGTTAGTTGGTTCCGGTTTATGCAAGGATTTTGTTTATTGTCGCGCACATATGGTGTTGTTTTCTTGGTTCTGCAGGGCTTTCGTGTAAGGCCCCTGCAAGTGTACTACAACGTGGTCCCCAAGTCAGGTTCTAGCTATCTAGGCTTCCATATCAACTGGTCGCAACTTCGTCTCGGATTGGGGTTGGGACCGTGGGTCTAAATCATTGCTTACTACTGACTGGGCATTTGTCGGCGTCCAGATGGAGGTCACGCTTCAAAAATAGTTTTTACAATTTGCTTCCATCAGTGCTCCCCGAAAACCTTACCAACTCAAATCCCATAATATCCTTAGCAATAAAGCCCTAAACACCCAATCCCCGAAACTCCTAAAGCCCAAAGCCCGAAGCCCAATTGACACTCAGGTGGATACCTCGTCTTCCGCCACTCGTGGCACCAGATACCTCTGGCTCGAAAACGATGTCATCAAAGGACCGCTCTCCGCTCTTCACAGCGGTCTAGACCCTAAACAAACATGCTGAGAATTGCATTGGGTATGGCTTCAGGGGTAGATTGTAGCACAACCATACACGGGCCTGAAGCGTATATTGGTTCTGAAACAGGACCAAATCCCCCAACAAAGCCCTAAACCCTAATCGGCCGGAGAAAGCCACGATGATAGTCTGGCTGGGGTCCTGTCGTGCAACAGACCAACAATTCGTGAGTAGCTGATGATGACTTGCAGGAGCCCATTCAGAAATATTCAAGCTGTTCCGCGTGTGTCCTATAGACCTTCACCCTAAAACCCTAGAGCCCTCAACCAGGAACCCCACATTAAGACCAACAACACCCGAAACCTTCGAACCCTGCAGCCCTGAACCCTAATCCCGAAACCCTCAGACCGGAAAGCTCTACAAACTCAAACCCAAAACCTTTAATATAGGGGCCCTACTACTTCGACCAGGGTTTCGGGGTCTATTCTAGTATACGTACTATTGAGGAACCCTGCTTCAGTCTTCTACATTCCTCAGAAAGAGGCTTCCCCTGAACAGGAATGTACTACTCCTTCGAAGCTGGCGTTCACCGGGAGGCAGAGGTGCAGGAGGCCGGGGGGAGAAGTGCTTTTGCCCAGAGAACGCACGTCAGATAAGTTTCGGGCTTGGTGGTTTCCGTTCTAGGTTAATGTTTTAGTTGATGCCTGTCTCAGGGTCAGGGGTATTAGGCCTCGGGTGGGAAGTGCCACATAGCCACATACGCCCCAGCCTTTAAACCCATAAAAGCAACACATTGGAAAGGCACAAGGTTTTGCACACGAAATCCTGAGCCTCAGAGCCCTACTGCCTTGTTTGTGGCTGCGTTATCTTCCTGTCGTGATTAGGCCGTTTGATTCGGCAGCCCATTCGGCCGGAAACTCCACTAGGCATTGAAAGAAGATGTTTGAGTTGTGTATCACGAGAAGCTACTTAAATCAAATCCTGCGGGAAGAATAATGAGAAAACTATCAACAATATCTGTCTAGAAGTAGCCCGTTACAGCTCAGATCAAACGACACCCAAAATCCCACATCGTGGTCCTGAAGCAGAAGCACTCAGACCTAGCACCTTGGACCCCAGCAATAAGTCCTACAACCCAACTCCGGAAGTCTGGGTGTCTCCCTCACCCCTCAACCCTAAACCCGCAGTTCATCCTAAGCCGAAGCGTAACAGACCCTAAGCCCCGAAATCATCAAATCCGAAACACCACAAAGCCCCAGGTTTAGGGTTGAGGGCTTAGGGTTTAGGGTATGTTAAGATTCCGGGTATCGGGTCCACCCCAAACCTTCAGATCCTGGACTACAAAGCGGCTTGGACCCGCTACATCAGCTCTTGGAATGGCAAGAGCAGCGGTAAGGCCGCACCGGCGTTTCAGGCCTGCTGGTTTAGGGTTTAGGGTTTAGGGTTTAGGGTTTTGGGATCAGGGTTCCCCTGCAGTCCCCCATTCTCGGGTTTACCGCTTTTTGGGTTGGGGCTTTGTGTTTATCAAGCTGAGCGGTAAGCCCTCCTAAACGACAAGCTCTATAAAGCTTTCAGTTTCAATTCGGAGTTTCGGAGGTTCGTGTTACTGAGGAAAAGCATAAACTATTGAACCCTAGCCCTAAGAAACATTACCTTGGGTTTATATGTTCAGTTGCTATTCTAGTCTCCTCGTTATGTGATGTGGCTTCAGGGACGTAGCTGTGAATGATTTCAGATTTTGCTGCACAGGATAAATAGAGTGGCAACTTGCCAACTTGGTGTCGGTGTCCACTCTAGATCCTAGTGGGCAGCAGGTCAGGGTAGGGTGCCGCAGCCTTTGGTCTTTCGGCTTTGGGGCTGAACCCAAGACGGAAGGTTTTGAATTAGTTGCAGCTGCATTAAACTCTTAGACTTAAGTTTGGCAAGCCTGGCTTGGGCGCAGATGCCCCAAGCCTTCTACGAGCAAGATCCTACAAAGTTCTGAAGCCCGAAACCTGAGGCCGAGTGCCCCTAAGCTGACAATGCTCCGGACAACACAAACACGTTTCTTGGAGCCCGAGAAATTGCTAGACTTTGCAGATGCTGCCCAGAAGCCAAGTCAGGAGCAGCATGGGTGACTTTATTACGGTGTAGGACAGCAGCCGATGGTATTGGCAGCTGGGGTTGGGGTGTGGTGTTTCGGCTACGAAACAGTCTGCAAGACTCAAAGAGCCCAAATGAAGATACAATGCCTCAAAACACCCAGTCTATCACCGGCGTCAGGTGTCCAGCGACTGGGTCCATGTCGAATCTGCCAGCACGTGCCTCGCATTATCAGCGGCCCAAGACCAGTGGTGCTCATTGGGCATGAAGGAATGGATCCTCACAACAGCCGACAGTGGATTTCTAAGCTTTTGTGCTCACAGCTCATAACATATATGTGCTCATACAGTGCAGGGGCAGCACAGGAAACAGCACACGTTCAGGACTGTCCAGCCCTTGTAGCTTAACCATCATCATCACCATCACCATCACCATCACCATCACCATCACCATCACCATCACCATCACCATCACCATCACCATCACCATCACCATCACCTCACCATCACCATCATCATCATCATCATCATCATCGAGCTCAGCTGCTGACCCAATTCGAGGTGAGACACAGATCCCACACCACATCATCACGGATTTAGCTCTTAAAGTCCGATAGGCTGCAGCTGAAGAATGGTGCCTTCAAACCGTAGTCACGGAGGTTGCCCCCTCTGATCAGATAGCAGGATACTCTGCTTCGACGGTTCGGACATTGCAACAAGACCGGGACGATTGACGGGTTTGGATAACGGCTCAACAAAGACTCATTCTTCTCCTCTGGACTCAGAATTATGGCAGAGAGTCGAGTTCAGGTTTGTGGTTCAGGGTCCTCTGCGCCCGAAGCCCAAACCTTATCCCAACATCCACAGTCCAAACCACGACTTCTGAAGCTGATGCAGCGAGGGAGGGGTAGGATTTCGGCTGAGCCTTCGGGAGACCGTCGTCGAAAGGGTCAAAGCACCACCGAAGAAAGATAGGCAAAGGCAGAGCTATTCTACCTTTAGCCCATCTGGGCCCGACGCGGCACCATAGACCCTAAGTACACCCTGAGCCAAAACTGAGGCTAATCAGCAGCACTGCAACTAGCCTGATTGTGCTGTGTGCACTGGCACTCGCCGCTTGGCCATACTTGCTGCTGGGCAGGTCTCAATTCCGCTTTATTTGCGGCCTCTTGGGGATTAGGGAGCTAACCCTCAACTCCAAAACCAATCCCTAAGCCCCCGAAATAGGCCTGAAAGGGAACACTCACTTGTCTAGAACAACCTCCTCATGATCATGAGCATGTTCTGCGTGGTGTAATTTCAGGACTCGCAGGTCATCCCTGAACCCAAAACCCTGAAATCCTAGACTTGGGAGGTCCTCAGGGTTCTACTAACTCCCCACGCGGTTTTCGGGCTTGAGGTGCGCAAGCATTCGGGCTGATTCTATGGAGTTTAGGGCATGCGGATTTAGCGCCGATACTTAGGGCTATAGTTTTCAGGAATAAGAGCGTAGGGATTCTTGGGGCTGCAGATTTGGGGCTGAAGTCCTAATCATATGTGTTTAGGGCTTGGCTTGTTTGGTTTTTCGGTGCAGGTCCAGGGCACCCCTTCACTTCTTAAGGCTTTCCGGCTTCATTTGTGGCTTCATCTGTCTTTCCGGGCCTCCTCAGGCCTGCAGGATGGAGCTAAAGTTGTTGGCTTTTGCGGCTTCGGTGGGGTTAAGGTGTTTGGAGTTTAGCGTTTGCCTGCTATGCTCTGCCTGACAAGGTGTGCATGCTCCTCTTCACGCGCAGCTGCATATTGTCATTGACCCCTGGAAGAACAAAGCGCTGTGCGAGTCGGTCTGGGTTTTCGCATTGTCCTTGTGGTTTTCTCTGCAGACTCTGAGCCATTGGAGTATCATTTATTCATTTGCGTTTTGGAGTGCAGGCCAAGAGGTGCTAGCAGGCAAACTTTGTATAACCCTGCTTGGTTTATGGACTTGGTTCTACATGTGAGGTCCTTCTAGTAGGGCACCCAATTTCGCTGGATTTCGATGCAGGACTTGCCTCCCATACCGCGACACGGGCACTGCTTAATACCCGGAGGTGCTTCTGAGCTTGAGACTGGAGGGCAGAAGTTCCCCAAGACAGGACACTCCTCATGTCGCCCATGAAAGAGGTTTCAAAGTGGAGGACCGAAGTCGACTCCTGAAACCTTACAGCTTAGACCAAATGCTGTGGATCCCGGTCTTCATTTTGTGAAGCATGATTTGTACACCCTGTCTTTGGTGCGCGCCGCTGGTGGTGGTTGGTCATCCCAGCTGAGCGGTCTTCGCGGTGGCCGAACTAGGAGCTTGATGCTTTCATGTCGACAGGTCCCCATACAGAAAACCTCACAGCCTGCGCCTTTGCGTGGCCATGCGATTTGGGAGCCATTTCTCCACCCTCTCACCCCCCCAACATCCATTGCTCTGTTATCTTGAGGATCGTGGTGTTCTCGACGATCATCGTCATTATCGTTCTGGCCTTCTTTATCACGACGGCCGCCTAGTTCAAAGGATTTAGGCTTGACAAGACTCGGTTCTGGGGTCGGCTGGTCTGACATTGCATGAAAGATATTCCCATCGGTCCGAGACCAAGACTTGCTCGGGGCCTGCCAACTTGACCCATAAACCCAAACACAGGGGTGCTTGATTTGTACCTGCAATCCCAAAAGTCATGGCCACCCTGCAACCGTAGAAGCCCTAAGCTCCAACCCAAAACCAAACCCCAACAAGCACCTAATATCCCGCAAACCATCTCAAGCCCTTGTTCAGAAGTCTTTGCGACGCTGTGTGGCAATGCACGTGTCCCGAGGTGATGGAGTGGCAGGTCGGCCTGATTGAGGTCATTGCCTTCATCTACTTCATAGGCGATTAAGGGCAAGGGTTGAGGGTTGAAGGGTGAAGGGTTTTAGGGTGGTCGTCATTGTAGGGTTAAGGGTTTAAGCGATTAGGGTTTTAGGGTTTTGGGGTGTTGGGTCCGGGCTGAACAATTCAAGGGCCAGTCTACCTGTCTATGTGACAGTGTGATTTAAGGCCTAGGAGGCATGGTTGTGATCACCTTTGTTTCGCGACCATGCTCACAATCGTAGTTAAAAAACAAGGTGAAGAGTTTCGCGATGTTGACAACTACGCTGGGCAATGACATGCGTGCGATTCTGGTACGAAGCTGTGTACTCTGATTGTTCCTTCGATTCGTAGCCGATGCTTCGTAAAATGCGGAACGAATTTCGTGCAAGACCGTAAAGTTTAGCACATCCCTAGCACCCATGCAACCTCTCATATGACCCTCTAAGAAGCGTATGCGGCTCCATACAATCCTCGTCAAAAGCTTGCTGCAGCCGAGCTTAGCCCTCCATGTTCACACAGCCAAGCGCGAAACCCCAGTCGCCTGAAAGCCTCTTCCTCAAATCTAGACATCTTTTTTTGCGAGGTAACAGTAGAGATTTCGAGGTTCAGCATTCTTGCCTCGATAGAACAGTCTTCTGCATGCTTACTATAGGTTTTACTTAAGTCTTGCATTTCGGATGGGACGGGACCCGGAACATTTCGCAGCATAATGTTTCCGCCCGTCTAGATTGAAATCGGAAAGTACCTGCAGCCCTGGCTGCCGATGACACAGGTTTGTTCATTGCGCTCTGGGTGGGTGTAGCGCTTGGGGTGCAGGCTCGTGTGAAGCGTTTTGACTATTTGTTCCTTGGGATGGTTGATCTCAGTGGGTCACGAGCAGGCTATGCTGTTGACTACAGCTTGCACATTGCCGCCTGTCCGGGTTGTGGAATGCAAGGTTCAAGATCTTTCTGCAGATTCGATTCTTTCGGCAAGTCTGTCAGTTTCTGAAAAAGTGTTGTGTGCGTGATTGTGCGTGCATGCGTCTGCTTACCAGTGTCAGACAGCTGTGGAGAAGCCGAAGCCGGCAGTTGCTACGGTTCCTGAGAGAGCAACCCGGTGTTCACGCAACATAAGCAAACAACACTCGGACTCGCAGAAGCCAGACGAAACATTTGGCAAGCCCAGTAAAGACTATGCCCATGCCCTGCCACAATCGAAATGGCAAGCTGTACAACCACTGCGACTACCTGCATATTCCCCGGCAAAACTGCAAACTCACAACCTGAACGAAAAGTCCAACCAAGGTGTACAAGTACGGCAGCCACGAAGCTTTGGATGATGATGACCAAGAATGGCTAGGCCGAAGCTGGTTTTGTAGTTTCCATCCATATCTAGATTCTCCTGAGTATATCTCAAACTTGATGGTGGTCTTCACTAGGTGTCTCCATAATCTCCATGCCGCTACTTGTACTGACGAGCTATTTTAGAGTCCGTGATGTTCTGAATCCCCAGATGGAACAACTGCAGTCACTACAGTCTACACAATCGATCATATATATATATATATATGCATATATATATATATATGTATATATATATATACATATAACATACAGATATCGACATACACATACGCATATGCATGCACATGCATGCAAGCACACACGCATGCATCCATACATATACACACACACGCAATACATATATGCATATTGTTAGCATGCATGCATGACATGCATGCATGCAGACATGTATGCATACATAGGAACATACATACGTACATACGTACATACATACATATACATGCATACAGGCATTACCTTACATCACACTACATTACATTACATTACCGTACATGACTACCTACATACATACATACATACATACATACATACATACATACCAGCATACATACATACAGACATGCATACATACAAACATGCATACATGCCATTACATTACGTTACATTACATTACATTACCTTAAGACATACATACATACATACGTACA